GATGAAATATGAAGATAACAAAAATTAATCAAGCTCAAAAGATCATTGAAAGAAAACTTTGGGGCAGATTAAGCACAGGCCCCTAAAAAACATCAGAAGTGGGATCAGCCGTCATGAAGGAGTGAGCATATCCTATCGACTAGTCACACACACTGTGTGCATCTTGTCATGATCGAACAAACAGAAAAAATCCATTGACATTTCAGTATGAAAATAGTGCATAACAATTTTCCTGAAAAATGTTAGTCAACATTTGACTTAATGACAGATAGTATCGACCATAAAAGAATGAATCTTCATAACATTGCTTTCTCGACCCTTTTTAAATGCAGAATTTTACCCTTTTAAATCAGAACATTATTATATTGTAGCTAAAGTTTCCAAGCATAGTCTGTATAGATACTCATAAAAGGTTTTAAAGGAAGGAGACTTTCAATATATACATTATATCGATTCAATAAAATTGTATACTTCACTGTAAAATCCCGGCTTTGCTATTACAGGTCATTGTATTATTTGAATGAGAGGGCGGAGCGTCTATCAAGCGTGTGATTAGTATGAATACATTAGCGTGTGTTCGAGGTTTACTAAGTTTTATGATTAACTGACACCTAAAACTCCTCTTTTTTAGTGCTAGAGACCGACCAAATATAAGCATACAGTTTTAATTTGACAAGCTTTACTTTGTGTTTTTTTTTCTTCTTAACGTACGAGTTATATTTGAAATGATTCACTGGAAATCCGTTAAATTATTTATGCATTAAATACACAATGGAATTTGCAAACAGAACGTCTAATGCTGGATACACTTTTTTCATACATTAAAGAACCCTTGTTTTTAAAGAGATAATTAATCCATTAAAGCTTATTATATTTAAGTGAATAATTAGAATTTATTTCATAGCAGATATATAATTTTGCAAAATCCGAGTGCTACAACAAATTCACGTAGGCGGTTGAATTATGATCTAAAACTTCACTCTGTGTTCGAAAAATAAAATCTTAAGAAAGTGAAAATTAAAACGTCAATGAAACTTCAGTTTCATAACTGGTGGATAAAAAAACATCAGTGTCGGTCTACTTTTTACAGTCCAGATTGCATTATTTCAAAAAATCCTGTTTATTCATGCCAGACAAGTTAATATGATCTTCCTCATTTAGGAATTCATTAATTGTCGAATTCCACTCGTGTACATTTTGATTTTAACAAACTCTCACCCTGTAATTAGATGAATAATAAATCACTTCAAGATATTTTAAACGCCTTTTTTCATTTGATTGATTTTTGTTACTAAAATCTAAATCTTTAATGATACGTTGATCGGACACGTGAAAGGGTCATTAAAGAGAAATTTTTTTTTTTGCTTTTAAGCATTATGCTTTAAAAATACCTGCAAACATAGACTTTTTTTTACATGATCTGCCCAAAAACCTATTTATGAGATTTTGTGCCGATGTAAAAAAAAGTTATAGCATTTTAGCATTTGCAGTGTCGTCAGAAGAAACCCGAAGCTTCCCTCTATTCAAATTAGGGTGCATTTTATGCCAATTTAATTTTTTTTTATTCAGTGACTTTTAAGGTTCCCCTTAAGGTTAACCTTTATTGTTTCTTCAATTGGAAGTATGCATTTGTGCACTTGTAACAAACATTTTTTTTTTTTTCTAAAGATATGATGAATTGGTGTATTTCAAATAACGATCTATAAAATTAAAGACAGTTTTAACTGGAAAAGAAATTTTTGTTATCTTCCAAGAGTCAATTTGTAGCGCTGATGTATATTTAGGAACAAAGGCATTGTATAATATATACACACAGTAATGTATATTTTAAAATTCTGTATTAATGTGACACAAGCCGTAAGTGCAAGCTATATGCTACAGGCCTCCAATATAACCAATAGATACCGAAAAAAAAATCAAACAAAATCAACTAAAATAGCTGTTAATAACAAGTAAATCAGAAATCTTAACACATCTTAACAATAAAAATGTTTTCTCCCAGAATTCTAATTAAACATTTGAAAATGATTTGACCATCGTTAGCTCACAGACACTAGACAAGATGTCGCGTAAGTGTGCTTAAAGCATGAAAGTGAATAGATTTGAGTCTTGTGTTCAGTGCTTTGTTATTCATGAGGTTAAAGACATGTTGAAATTTTAAACAAGGTGCATTTATTATAGAGACAAGTACCCGTGATTTTGCACCTTTTTGAAAAATAATAAATGAGCGCACGCACAACTGTTTCAATTTCTTTCATGAATGTAAATGACTAGTATAACACTTTACATCGACCGTATTTACAACTTGAACAATCCATGCGCTCATATAAAAATGGGTTTGCAAAATTGGGTTGTGGCCTAAAGTCTATGAAAAATCAATGTAAACAATGTACACCTCCTATATTAATCAGATAAATACCAAATTTCAGTCTAAGGAAGTAGAAATTGAAATTAAAATTAATAAACTACAATGTTAGATGGAAAGATTGAGTCCAAATTATGTAGAATATCTTTGATTTAGTTCTTTGTAAATTATCGGCAACGATTGTTGGAAACGTGGGATAATTTATGCATAACGGGCTTCGACCATTATGCATAAATTATCCCACGTTTCCAACAATCGTTGATGTCCCTAGCATACTCTACTAACTAGACAGTGATTCCTTATATTTCCATTTCATTGTGAAATAAAATTATAAATTTAAATTTTAAAAATGTAGAGTAATAGATTTAAATTAAACGAGGCCTCACATGTCAATTTCAATTGTCCCCGCCCACTGACGTCAAACACAAAGACAGAATTACATGCATATTAGGCCTCCTTAGCGTCAGACACAAAGACAGCAGCACGAGAATTACATGAATATTTTGTATTCTTAGCTCCTGACCTTTCGCTTGGCGAAATTTGCATTCCGGTAGAATAATCAAAGAAATCAACTCTCCTAACTTTTAAAGAGTTATAACAGAGAACACAAATAGAAATGGAAATATAATGATATATTGCTACATAAATAATGAAAGTTGTCGATAGAAAAGTTGGAGTACTCATATTTATCCTAAAGTGTGGATAATAGTTTACAATTCAATTTTTTTTGTAGTAAAATATCCAACTATGAATTAGATGTGTCAGACTCTGTAGTATCTTTCATATCCGTTTCAAAGGGATATGTCAAATCGACCTCAGAATGAAAATGAATATTGTTAATTGATAAAATACTCATTACTTTAATTGTGTTTAAGAGGAATGTGACTTTAAATTCTGCAAGTGGTTTATCAACTTATACTCAAAGTTTCCCAAGGAGGAAATTCTTCAAAATAAAATGTGTGTTTGAAATATTTTAATATTCCCAATAATTAAAGAGCTAGAGCCACGAAGTGCCAAAATCGGCCTAGTCACCAAAATAAACAACACGTTCTCATATAATAGTCAAGGATTTGTAGGTCTTAAAACAGTTTATTTTTTAACAACACCTTTTCTAGTTTTCTTTTTACGGTCTTTTAAATTGGGTATTGTTTTTTTTCCAAATGAATACTATAACGTCATGACGTTGACGTTATATACAGCACTACATAATGATATTACGACGGTTGATCCAAAAGTTATATCACAACTTCTACAAAATCTTTAATACTCAAAGGTTATCAACAACATTTGACATACATTGTACTATTACCCTAATTTATTTGGATCTTTTGCTTTTAAATTCATTCGATTTTATTTAGTAATTTCTCAAATGTTATCATAAACACGACATTAGTTTTTTTTTTTCCTATAGTCACAGCAAGAATGTACCGGAGTCTTCATATGACGTTTCTTCGACACTCATTTACATTTCATCCGTGTATCTTTTTAACTTCTCACTTGCTTCTTTTATATATATATATTTGCTGCTATTTTGCCATAAACAATCTTGTTCTGAGTTGTAGTAATAAAATTATTTGAACTTTATCCAAAAGTTTTCTAAATTCATTCCTTTTTGTGTAACTCTTATGCTTCATCAGATTGAAAAAGAGAGCATGCCGAGAAGAAACGTCATAACGACGTTATTACATTCTTACCGTGCAGAGATAGAGAAGACCCAACGTTGTGTTATTGTAAAATAATTGTATGAAGTAATTAAGGACAAAAATCTAAATAGGTAGAGGTATTAGCATAGAAAGGTTTGTTGAAAACCCGATAATTAATGATTTTACAGCAGTTGTAACATTACTTAAGGACAAACCCTCGTTACATTATTATAAAAAGGTTACATAAATGAAATGGACTTCATAAAAATATGCCTACTTTATTAAATTGGGCAAATTCTTGCATTTTTCTTCGAAACTCTGAAACATGGGATGAAAAAAATTTCGATTTTCTAACTTGAAGCTATTTTTATGATCAATTGAAGTGCTTAACTTTTCTTATAAGCATATATTAACTATACTATGACGCCGATACACTGCAGATTTGTACGAGACATGTAATGCATTACTCCCTTATATACATGTGCACTAGTAGCTAGGAGGGTGTATATGTATTAACTTAAAATTTCTCGCATACCTACGTATAATTAATTTAATCCAATAACACTGCTGTTTCATTTTCTTTAGCAATATTTTTTTTTACCAATCATAAACTCTTTAAAACAGCTGCACGGTGAATAAAAATGAAGTGGAACGACTTACACTAACATAGGGTGTCATAATGGGCAATTAAAAAATATAATGGGTTACCATTAATTTTTTGAGAAACTTGAATCAACACTTCGTCGGGAAAATTTCACATATTTTTTATCTATTTCATCCTATGGTTCTCTGGAAAAAGTCGACAATGTGATAATATAAGTGGACATTATTGCATGTATATGTTTATAAATGTACTATATAGGCAGGCGGATAGAAAGAAAAAAATAGATCAGAAACGCTCACCTGGAAGGAACAGGTGAAATATAAAAGATTTCACGGAAATATGACTTTGAAAATAAGTAAAAATGCAGAAGTGAAACTGTATATGCTTTTTATTCTTCGCAAATACTGTCATCGATGTCGGAAGTGTCTATCGTCTCTGGAATGTTGGCTGCATCTTCAACATAGGCGGCCCAATCCCTTATACCGATGTTGTCCATGTCCTGCATGTGCCTGGCATATCCAAGATACCAGAGTATGGATGCAACGTGTGCACACACACCGACCACTCTTGCGCCTGTCTTGCAAAGACAATACCACGCTGTTACCTGAATATGAAATTAAACACTTTTGTTGACAAAATTTTAAAAAGATTGAACTGATTTTATAATTCAACAGTGCTTTCTAGTTGCTTGAACATTTCATTTTTTTTTTTTTTACATTTGCCATGCAAATAATACAATTATAAATACCTCTGCTGCATTGTAAGATATCCACAAGACATGAGACTTGGATGAAACATGGCGACTTTGCATTTTCACCTTTAGTAGGTGGGGGTCCTCTTTGTGGACAAGGATGTCCTGATTTCCCTCTAGGTGCTCCTGGATGTAGAATTTTGAAAGTTTGAGTTGGTAGGTCCCACATGTTATTTCACGAAGCTGTTCCTCTGATAGCTTTGGAAAATCTTGAACAGAGGATGCATCTGTACACATTGTTGTTTTTCTGCTATGTAGATTTTCTTTCTCGACACGTTCTTTCAATGTGTTTACTTGACGGCTGAGGTATAACATTTTTGCTGCCACAGCAAAATCGTCATCATGAGCTGAAATCAACGAATGATATATTTGAAAAACAATCACCGAATGACAAAATATATTTCTTTACAGCAGTTAAAATGAAGTTGTATAGAATACGTATTACATATAAGCTATGTAAAGTACATGTGTATAATTATACCTGATGAAAGTGGAGGAAGGAACTTGTTTGAAATGGCACAAGTGATTCTTATATAATCTCCGATATGAGGAACTTGATTTGTTGGGAGAACCTTATCTAAGTACATCCACCTCTTTATTCGGGCGTTAGCCGATTCCACTACCCAGCGGACCTTTCAGAAGAAAAAAAAATCTTTATTAAGTACTCAATTTGTAATCAATTTAGTATCCTTAACATTTTAAAAAGGCCAAGATGAATTAACTGAACACTTTATTTGCAAGTATTTTCTCCACAAAAGTAAACAATAGTGATTTCTGTTCATTGATACTTTGTCGTCTCTGAACATTTTTCCTTGGGGTAAATGCCACGTACCGTATATTGAAAATTAGATAGATAAGCTCAATATTTACATCTTTATTCAATATAATTTTCTCAATGTCCAAAAACATTTCGCACTGGTGTATAGAGGGGTCATTAATTATAATAAATTACGTCGTGTTTCAGTAAATGAATATTTCTACGTTTTGTTACTAATGATTTCTACATTTCTTTTTAATTTGAAAATAATTTTCATGGTTTTCAAAATTTCAAAAAAGAAAACAAAAGGAATAGAATGTTATTGCAACATGTCAATCCGGAATTTAAACGTTCATCTATGCTTGGTTTGTTTTCTTTGAAAACTTTCCATCTTGAATTTCCGATGATTTCAATCGCATGAGGACTTGAGGAAGTCGAGGTAGATGAAGTATACATGTAGACAGTACCAAACACGTAAGTATTATTAAATATTAAATAATTCTGAATGATGGATTATAATGTTTATTTCATTATGCAAATATTTGAATTGTGAGATTTGGAAATTATCAGTAATTGCACATTCTATTATCAATTTGATTCTACGTTTAGATTGCCTTTAAATCAACTTATTTTGATTTTTCAATTTTTTAATGAATTTGAACTGGACAAATTGATTGCATACTTTTTAACAATCGATATTTTTGTAAGATTTTAATTATAGACCTTAAATCAAATCTTTTAATATTTTATACATGTAGATAATACCAGGGACATATATATATATATATATATATATATATATATATATATATATATATATATATATATATATATATATATATATATATATATATATATATATATATATATATATATATATATATATATATATATAATATATATATGAATTAGTATGTAGGTCCCTGTTTATACTTCTAGTGTTAACATATATGTATATCTAGACTAGTGTATTTGAAATGATCATTTTATCAACATTTTGTGTATTTTGATTTTCTCTGATATCTACAATGTACTTCTCAGACCCTTTGCTGATTTAGTTTAATTGAATATAAATGGCCAATGTTCCCTTTTTATACATGTACCTTTGTAATTAAGCGACTGGCATTAGCATCCTCTGTAGACAGTTGTTTACTCCCTTGTTTCATGAAGCTTGGGATTTCAGCTTTGATTCCAATATCCTCCAGGAAACAGACAGCATCCCTAAAACCTCGGTCGACAACGAATATGTCATTCTCTTGCACGCCGTGTTTAATATCTTCAACATTTGATTTCAACATGTGAGTGAGAATGTTTGCATCATTATTTTTAGTGTCTGCTAAATAGGTTCAACAGCCGTAACATAATATCCAGTAGTTGTCACCACCACCATTGCTTTTACTAAAGGTCTCCCTTTGTGTAAACTGAATGAGCGCCTCTGAAAATGAAAATTGTTGCTTTTTTGAATATAGATGTAGGTACCATCTAACACCAAAATCACTTGAGAATTGCCAGTTTCTCCAAATAGGGTCTGAGCAAGAGGTCTGGTATGGTTTTCAATTACTTCCTCACGTGAAATATGTTGTAGGCCCAAGTTTTGCGGAACAAAGGATGCAGTGAGAGACTGTCTTACAGAAGATATGGCTCGGCGCAAACTGGATTTAGATTTGTTAAAAATGGTTGAAAGTACTTTATTGGAAAGTCCGGATTTCATTTTAAATAAGAAGATTCCCAAGGATGTGCGAGTAGACCGGACAGGAGTGTTCCTTACATCTTTCAGACCTTCACACATTTCGTCAAATGCATCTTTGGTTATCCCAGTGAGTGTCAAATAATCATATTCAGTTAGATTGGATGATGTGTCAAAATCAATTCTGCATTTTTTGTTATCCTGCACTGTTGTACGCAAACGTTTAATGAGGTCAGAAATAGCAGTCCTGCTCAGAAATGATTGACTGGTTGCTTTTATGCGTGGTAATACGTCGGACTTAAAATCCCCTTCTTCCAAGTGATTGGGACAACATCGACTTACAGCAGGTACAATTACCTCACAGTTCAGAAAGACATTAAATCTTGCATAAACCATAAGCTTTGGTCCTGGTCGCTTACACACAAAGCACTGTGCATGACTTTTAGGGGTGGATGGAATTGACAAGGATACGGATGGTGGACTTGAGATGGCATTGGATTTTGGACGCTTTGGTGTTAGACAGTAATCATCAACGTTTTCATTACATTTTGGGACATCATGAACTTCTTGTCTTTCTGAAGAATAATACTTATGTCTGCATTTATTGCACAGTGTGTCATCTTTATCACAAACAGTGATTTAAAAGTTTTTCTGAAGAAAGCGATTTTCTTCTTTCGTTATTTTTTTTTCTCTCCTTTGGCTTTGTTCGTTTATTGCATAATACACAGGGGAAAATTTTTGGTCCATCACCAGGCATTCTGAAAAGGGAATTTTTGAAATTTTGGATCTAGACTACCGCTTTAATTCTTCAATTTAGGACTTATCAGACACAAACATTTCGACAGAAAAGGGCAGTTTACTTTGTTATCTCAAACAATAATATGTAAGGTTTTAATTTTTTATGATATGATTTCTTACATGAAAGTTACATGTAAACAGGCGCATAATACCAGAGAGACACCCCCCCCCCTCCGTGACACACATACAAAAGTTAAAGATCATTTGCACCAATTCTCAAGTAAACTGTCATCATTTTTTGACTCCCCATCTTCCTTAAGTAATGCAGATTGAAGTTTGTTTAAGAATTGTTCAAGGGTGATGTGGGATCACAATAGGGTATAAGGATCAAAATATTTCAGGAATATAGATGGAAAAAAAATCTCTAGGACAACAGGGTCAAACACAGGTGAGCATTTTAATCCATAGGACTCCTGATTATAGATTATTCCCTTTCCTTTATTTTTTTGTATGGAAATTCAAATTATTATTAATAAGCTGCTACCCCCCCCCCCAATCTCTTACTGTTTTGTTGTAGAACTATCAAATCCTTCCACATTATTAGTTCTACTAATTTTCTGATGAAAAATTAATGAGATTTAGACCCTCTTTTTCTTCTCCTGAAATAGGTTTTTGAAGTTTTGGACATTTTCAGTTATTATTTTTTTTTGTTCAAAGTATTTTAAGACTATATATTGTTGACAGTTATTCAATTACACTCCCCTTTTCTGGCACCTTTTAAAAACGTCGCTATAGGTGTCTGATAAAAGTTTTTTTTGGGAGGGGGGGGGGGGGCATACACCATTGCTATTGCAAAATATCATGCCATAAAGAAGGTACCTAAACTATTTTTGAAAACTGTTATATTAGAAATAACACTGATGTAATATAATAGCCATAGGAACTGGGGGAAGGGGGGGGGTATATAGTACATGTATACTTTAGAAAAAAAAAAGCTACTTTATTGATGTGTTGTCCCTCAAATGAAAATGTTTGGTTATGGCCTTTTCCTCAGTTGAAAACAGCGTTGCAGTGTATCTTCATTTTATGGGGGAAAATACATAAACATGTAGGCCTTTGTAATATGCGCTTGTTTCTATTTTTTTATTCTCCGTATCCAATCCTAATGAACATCATCATAATGGCTTGATGTTGCAAGTGCTATTGTATTTTTATATTTTTGTGATCTTAGATTAAAACATTGCATGATTTGATAAATAAAACTGGAATTCTTAAAACAAGTTTTTTTCCCCAGTGGCCACAAATATATATTTAGGTTAATTCTACAGTATTCCATCTTTAAAGCTTGCTTGGAATGGAATAGTTATATTTTACTATAAAACATATGGATGAAAGTGTAATTGCTTTCTCTCTCTCTCTCTCGATGAGTCATGTTATGTGAAAGAGAAGTAACTCAATAAAGAAAGAAAAGTCAAGTAAGCTCCCTTTGTATTTTTTGTTTTCTTCGTGCAGGCCAGGCCAGGCTAGGTCATGCAGTCGATCTGGTCATCGTAATCACATACCATGTTACTATGAGGTTGTCAGATTTCCTAACTTGATAGTAAGTTTTCCATTTATACTTTGCTTTAATCTACGATCACAAAAACGATAGCACTTGTAACATTGATTTCTTATGTTCAATACTGATTTGTCAATTCGAATTTCCTATGTTGAATGCTTCGTGACATGTGTAGGCCGTAGTGATGTCTGGGATTTGAAAATGTTTCACTTATAATAATTAATTGTCTCCTTCAAAATACCAGTGGTTATATTAACAAATAGTATATCAGTAGGGATTGTTTAACCATTATTATAATTATGACGTGTGTGATGTTTGTTGATGCAGACGTCATATGATACTGTACGATATGGGATATGTTTGTAATGTGGCAAAAATTATCTCAATTTCAATTCATACATACGTTCTGGTAAATGTAGTTGCATCTGTTGTATATCTGAATCTTCTAAGTCATTTGGACACTCAGGATGGAATTTTCGAAAACTTTTACCGATTTTAATAAAATTATCATGTTCTTTTCGAGTTATCTCCCTTTGATTACATAGTGACAATGGCGACAAGGAGCTTGGGGGAGGAAATACGACATCAAAACACACACACAAACAAACACATTCACTCACACACTTAGTGCTTATCATTTATAAAACTTTTTATTAATAAACACTTCATTGTGACGAGTTAATTGGGTCAACACCGATGGTACATAAGTACCAAAAGTCGATACTTGTATGACATTACTGCATGCGGTCAAGTTTAGAGACAGTTTTTCGTTTTTATTTTTAATTACATCATAAAATAACAAATTCTTAATAAGATATTTGCATTTGTAAACTTTTTTTAAAAAAATACATCAGCAGTATAAATCAGCTTCTTTTCTATAAATGTAGGATAAACCCCATAGATTCTTTTATGGTGGTCGGCGCTGCGAAGCTAGACGATGAAGAAAATGTAAAATGTTCGATGTGGCCACACCTCTCGAACAAAATAAAAATATGCTTTATGCATTCATTTTTTTGTTCTTTATTTAATGGCATAAATTTTATTTTGTTCGAAGGGTGTGGCCACAGCAAAAATTTGAACCAAAGACGAAAATAAGAGTGAAATTTGATAAGAAGGATCAAAGTGCACGTGTTTCGACGTTTACTATAAAAATATGACGTCATTAAATAAAAAAAAAATCAGCATACACCTTTTAAGTTCGATACTTATGGGTAATATTTTTATTGTGATTTTTCTTCTTGAATTTAGTTTAATTTTCCTGAAAAAAAAAAAAAAGCCCGATTCAGGCCGTTCGTGGATTTAGCTCTTTTAATTTTATTCACAACACCTATACTGAATTCCTAAACTACATACTAAATCCTTGTAAATAAAGAATTATGGCGGTTCCAGTAACTGCTCCAACGAGCATTTTGACAACTTAGACAGCTGCTTTAAAAAAAGAACTCAGAAATTTATTTATCTTGCCATTGGTCATCATCAAAATTATTTGTTACAAAACATTCGGATTATACACACAAGTGCAATGAAGATGCTATTTAAAAGGTGCCCGAGTTTCTGATTGTCAATATCTATGTAGTTTTTGGATATCAAGTCTTCCAACAATTGAATTCAAATAGGTACAAATTGCACTCAGTAATAAGCAGTTCTTTTTTTGTATTCATATGAAGCAGAATTTATTCAAAAACGACTGCAGAGAAGTCTCTTGTTTTAGCCTTCAATTCAATAAAATATATCGACGTTTTTTTAGATACATAACGCTTTATCAATTATTAATTTTCAATTTCATTTCTATGTTGAATTTAACTCAGTTGAACTCAAAATAAAAGAAACTGCGGAGTTTAATACATCGGTCTCATATTTGGATAATTTACTAGAAATAAACTTAAATGACAAACTAACAACACAATTTTATGATAAATTTTGCTGATGTCAACATGCCTTCCTTTATTTATGTGGCAATATACAATTATTTAGAGTTTGTGTCTCCAAGATGATTCGATACAGATCAAAATATTCTAATACGAACATTTTCTAAAACAAGTAAAGTTATTGAAGTAGATCATATCAACTGATATAAGTTGATGATACAAGGATACATGTATCAACAGTCTCGTTTGAACACAACAATGTGCAAATTCTGTGGTCGATAAAATGTCGGCAAATTCAATCCATCGTTAAGTCTAATGTTGACTGACTTTTTTCATGCAAATTGATAGACCATTATTTTCACACTGAATTGTCTACGGATTTTTTTTTTCTTCGTCTGCCTTATCTAAGAAGGAGCATACATATGAGATCGGTTGAGAGGTCATGCTAACACCTCTTTAGCGGTGATCCCACCTCTGATGTTTTTAGAGGTCCATGTTCGCTCTGTTCCCAATATGTCTTGTTCCAATCGACTTTTGAACTTGACTACTTTTTGCTAGTTAAGCTCATCTCTCTCTCTCTCTCTCTCTCTCTCTCTCTCTCTCTCTCTCTCTCTCTCTCTCTCTATATATATATATATATATATATATATATATATATATATATATATATATATATATGTGTATATTAAAATAGTCAGAATATATCAAATATATGACAATGCAAAAAACGATTAAAGGCATATCAATGTGAAACATACCACATATGAACTCAGACATTGGAAGAATAAGTTCAATACCTTCTCGATCATGATTAAATTATTGCATTCAAAAGGACCTTAAATAATGGTATTAAAAAGAATCTATGCATAACTAAACATCCGTAAATAATATTTTGTTAATGATAAGAAAAAAATAATTTTACTGCGAAGAAAGAAATATTGACCAGCATCTCATTGCACATAAAATGCGTCCAATTTTAGCAAATGATGACATAACGAATTATCAATATCAATAAAACTAACGATCTATTTGGGCCGAAGTACTAAGAATAATGATCCAGAGATAAATGTCTATGCATGTCTGTTACTGTCGAAATGTAAATTTTCACATGGTTTATTTAACTCCATAACAACAGATATTCAATTCAGCAAGGCAGCATCGATCCTTGTGTAAATTACCACATTCGTAACGCATGCACTCACTCCCTCACTCCCTCACTCACTAACACACACATACATACACACTCACAGGCGAGTTACTACAGTGTATATCACCTAGAACTTAGTTTCGAGGGGACATTTAAAAATAGAAAAAGAGATTAGACCTTAACACGTGCTCTGTCTTTCTTACAAATCTTATTTTTCACCAAATATCACTAAGATATCTCAAAAGTACTTCCAAATAGTTCTGATACTAATGCGTTAATGTTTTCCGATGATGATTTTCGCATTTTTGCATTTCTTGCCTCAAATGCATATCCATACTCAAACTCTTTAACTTTTGACAACCTTCTCTTCTCTATAACATGTAAGCAGGTCATGACATATTTTCCCCCAACCGAAATCCTGTTCCACCTGATATTCCATCAATGAGTATGAGCCCTAAACTCTTGCTGATCTCTTTTATAAAGCTTGTCATCACATCTATTGGACACACCCCTTTGGAAAATGGATATTCAGGCTCCATTCTTCTCTTTTTGATCCCTGAAAGGCACAATATATGCATTATGATATTACAGAGCGATGAACTACGTTCTATAAACATAATTTGCAATTAAAAGTTTTTTTGCATTTGCTGATTAACAGCTGATGGAAAACTCATTCCCAATATATCCCAATATATTTTTTAAAATACATATTAGTAACCATTATACAATTAACTGCATACGATGTACCTTAATAGTCTCCTTTTTTGTCTTTTTAATCAAATTTATTTTGTTTCTAATAATTAGAAATATGATCTGATAGCTATACGAAATTAACATTGCAAATATAGAATTAAAATATATGCATTATATTTATTTTATCTCTTTTTAACATGTCCAGACTGCATATGATATATCTCACCCCATCAATTTCGATTCAGGTCCTAACTCTAAGGATTATATGTCGTTAATTGGATTCTGTCCTATGTTTATATATACATCTGTAGTCATTTTTTCATAGTACCGTTAAACTACCATAATCCCTAAAACACATTTTCATTTTTCCTTCTATGCTTGCTTGCATAACCTGAAATTCCTCAGGTAAATCCACTGTTCAACTGTACATGATGTTGTCAAAATCTCAAACAATTAGAGAAACCATTAAAGATTTCAAGTTAAGAATGGCAATAATAAATCAAAATGTTAAGGAAATGCTCCCCTTGTTTAAATTTATATTTCCTTGTGAACAAATAAATTGTATAATCAAGTATATAATTGAAAAGCTAGTCAAAATAATGTATATAATAGGTAATAGTGATGAAATTATGGTAATAGTGAAATATGAAGATAACAAACAGTATTTAATCTCGAAAGGGCTAATGAAACGATACAAATTTGGAGCAGAGCAAACACGGACCTCAAATTTAGAGGTGGGATCAGGTGCCATGGAGGAGTGAGCACCCCCTGCAGACCAGTCACACCCGCCGTGTGCTCTTTGTCATGATCGGGAAAAAACGGAAAATCTGCAGACAGTTCAATGTATAAATAATGGTCTAACAATTAGTATGAAAGACGTCAGTCAACATTTGACTCAATGGTAGGTTGTATGGGCTGACAAGGCCATTGTATCGACCGTAAAACTTACGAAAAGATTACTTCAAACGAGACTGTTGATATCCTTGTTTCATCAACTTTTTTTTCAATAGCTTGCCACGTTTTAGAACTCAGCTATATTAAGGAAAGAAATGGAAAATCCGATCTAAGTACCCTCTTAATATGTATTATTTTTAAAAATCTTTGTAACAAAGTAACTGTATACAAGCATGTAGAAAAGACATTATAGATATCCTTAATGGATAGGTTTGGGTCCGTACTCAGTACCATTTACATCGCATGTATAAGCTGTGTGTCACGTGACTGTATAAAAATAGAATTGTTAAGATGGATGTGAAAAATGACACTAGTGCAAGGGCATACGCATGTTTTTCGAGAAAAAAATATTACACATTAAAAAGATTTACATCGGATACCCGAAAAGTGCTGGGAGCTAGTTTGAACTACTTCGGAAATACTCGCTCGTATTTTTGCTGAAAATGGGTACAATAACTAAAAATTCCCACTTCGCTTAAATACTGCTCTGAATAAAAGATATGTTATGCCGACCAGGATCATGATCAGCTCCCAGCACTTTTTAAAATATACAAGATATAAGCAATTGTTATTCCGTATTTAAGCTCAAACAATCTAGTCTATGCGCTTGCACTTTTGAGGTTAATTAGGAATATACTTATCGTGTTAGGGATGTTCTTTACATAATACCTAGATAAATTGATAATCTACATAATTGTTTTAAATAAATTATTTCCTTTCAATTTTATTGATGAGATTAAAAATTGGCGATGGTTTCATATTTATTTAAACATTTTTATAATCATTAAACCAATGGATCCACTTCTCTTGAACACTTGTACTGCGTCAAGTCAAGGCTAGTGACATCATTTATGACACAAGACCTGCTTTCAAGTACTCGGCAGTTATTTTTTCAAACGTTGTGATTTTACATGCTTTTATAAATGATTGATAAAATAAATGAATGCAGGTTGTTTTTGACGCATTATCATTTGGTTAAATTGATTTTTGTTGATTGTCAAATTTTCAATGACGTCACAATGAAATTTCCCATACGGTACATCACAAATGTGAACTCAGGCCTTCCTTAACGTAGCTGAGAAATTGTTCATACGTAGAGCATGCTCTTGTCTATCGAATCAACTGAGAGACATAAACCCCATATTCAGGTGATAAGGGTATATTGCTACATAAGTAAGGGAAGTGGACGATTGAAAAGTTGAAGTCATCACGTTTATCATAAAGCTTTGTTGTTAAGTTACCATAAACGTCTTTTTCTTGTAAAATATCTATATATGAAACAGATGTGTCAGAAATAAAAAAGCGTGTAAAAGGCAACCTTTTCCGAGAAACTTCAATTTCTTCAACACTTATTGAATGTATCTCAGAACAGAATTTCTGAGATTATTCCCTTCTTGATACTGGCTATTTCACTGACGGTAATAAATGATCGATCCTCAACATTACAAATAATGCGTTGGCATTTGTATCTCTTGTGAAATTATATTTCGTTATAAAAGGTGTTTGAAAGAGTTTTACAAGCAGTTTGCACAGAATCTCTAATCTCAGTAGAAACGTTTGTCTCTATAGCTGACGTTTAATACGCTTCACTTGCACCTGAATGTCATTTTCACGAATACCAATGACGAGAGTGTTATTTCTGTAATCAAAAACTGTTGCTGTTTGATAAAGATCGAAATTCTCTTCCACTCTGCTTCCACTCTGGAAACAATCCATTTGAGAAAAATGATGCAATAAGCAACAACTCTGTAGTAAACAAACATAGCAAATGAGCGGAATCGAAACACAATATTGATGAATATTCCCATTTTTCTTCTGAAAAAGTCTTGTTTAAATACTCTCTTGTTCATAAGTGGAACAAACAATGGCTTGCCTGTTTCTCTTGTATCTTTTTGAGAATATATAACGAGCATATGGCGTCTCTACATGTATATCATAATTTCAGTTTTGTGATCCAAACATGACGATTTCTCAGTCCACAGAGAATTCACTACTTTCTCATCTAATGTCTTTTCGAAAGAGTCACACTCCATATAATACCTCCTCTTACAGTCTTTATGAAATGGTTTTTATCGACTATATTATCGACAAGCCCAAGTTCATTTTCAAAAAAAAAAAAAAAAAATAGTGATCAAGCAGAGCATTCAATCTAATATTGGATGACATAAAAAAAATCCAATCAGTTAAATTATCTTCAGCTTTGATTGATACAGTTGTATCTTTGAACATTTTGTCTGAATTGTGGGAAAAATATTTCAGCAATTTTTCACATTTAACTGCGTGTGTCATATACCTTCATCTTCAGATTTTCCTTCTGTATGAGTAGCTATGTTCAACACTGGGGCTTGTGTGCTATCAAAGGTCTTGACTGATGTTATCCAGAAATTCACGTAATCTGAAAAAGCAGACACACATTACATAAATTTGAAATAATTTTATATTTTTTTATCAATTTGCTTTATACGTAAAACTCGTTCGTGAACATTTTATGACATATATTTAGAGAACTCATTCATATATGATTAGAATAGCTAATGTATTATTAAGAAAGCTGAATGATTGTGTTTACATAATTAATATCTTTCAGACTATCACCACATCTTTTTCTTTTACTGCAATTTAATATACTATTTTGCAGAATTATGAAAAGGAAAACATCTCCACAACTTTTATTTATGAATTTTGCACTAAGTCTTTTGTTGCCAGAGGTTAATAGTTATTGCAAATATTTTTTTTTTTTTACTTTTAATTGAAACAGAATAAACAAAATAAGTGTCTGGTACACATTCAGAATAATCCTGATAATGTTTTAGTAGTGCAGGAAATAATTTCAAGAAAAAAAATATAAATTGACTTTACATGAGACTTTGAAAACAGTTGAACGTAATTCAACTTCAGCCCCAAGTCTGTCAATGTATTTTTATTCAAGTTCTGGATCCAAGACACATGTGTTGAGTTCTATCACGGAATCCTGGTAAAATGTAGAACTCCCTAGGTTTCGCTTTAATTCTTCAATGATATCCCTGATATTCCGCCATTCCTAATAAAATTTAGTCAGAAAGAGATATATCGGTGGAATTGCCAAAATATTTGTTCCGAAGTAGGCGAATCCGTTCGATGTAAGCGGCAACACTTCTATCAAATGGGTCTTGGACCTTTTGGAGGTGGAGGCATTTCATACAGTAAATATATACCAGGGTCTGAAAAATCTCCTTCATATTTGTATATTTGTAAAGGGAATATTATTTGAACTTGTGATGATTTCAAGGGTCTCGCTTTTTGTTTTTCTCATAATGTTTTTCATAACCTTGGATAATGCATACGGTTGAATTTTCTTTTTAAGAATATCATGTAGCACATCTGTACAGGGAGCCAGTATGAGCCTTGCCAGCCGAGCGGTATTTGTTGTCTCTGGTGTTGATATGCATCTTGATGACGACATCGCAGATTTGAGTTAAAACGTATCACAATGCGGTCAGGTATGTCAAATCTAGAGTTGTGCTTTATTCTGTGAAAAGGAATAAAAATACCTGAATGATTTCTTTTTCTTTATATCAGATGAAGAGAAAAATGGTTTTTTAAAGAGGCGAAAAAAGATCAAATTTTAGAATACCATTTTATAGGAAACATTTTAACACGTATAACTTTATGCTTTACAATTTAGAAACTTTACTAGTAACATCAAGATTAGACAATAACATTTAAAGCGAAAGTAGAGATAAATCGTTATTTGCTAGAAAAAAATTAATAACACAGACTCCTGCCATTTGTCATGTTTTAAGATACCTACTAAAAACTTCTCGGGTAACTTTTCTGGATAAAGAAAGAATATCAACTGTACCTTTCACCTCCTGTTTTGCTCCATTTTCACTCTAGGACAAGGTCATTCATTCCCTATTTTGTCTAGAAATAGATTGAAGATTTTGCAAAATGATGCATACTAGTAATTTGAGTCAGCTAGGACGACACATAAAAAATGAATGTCAAAGTAAAAAGTCGGGGAAGAAAAACCCTAATATAAAGTACATGCAGTGTACACCGTGATTGAGAACGGAGTGTTAACAAAAAAGCGGTGGAGTGCAGAAAGTTTATTAGATCTTTTTTTTTTTTTTTTTACTTCATTGAATCTGTATAAAAGTCTATAACGTTATTATGTAGATTATGAACTGTGAAGGAGAGTCTAACACTATAAATCCCATCGTTGCATGAAAAAAATATTTTAATTAACTGTTAGACCTATATATATAATTCAAAAACATGGACGAATGCGGTAGGGGTGTTGCTATCCCATTAAGTTTGAGTGTGAATGTCTAAATTCTAGTACCCGACCGAGACAAAGAAAGACATTTCATGGACCTACTGCCTTGTCTTTTTTCTTTTCAAATATATAAACATATCCAATCCATATGAATCACACTTAACATAATACCCGGAAAATTGTTACAATGTTTCAATTATTAAAAACAAAACTATTACTAGTATGTGATCGTTTCTCGCCTTCTTAAACCATTTTTCTCTCCGTTTGATATTTACAAAAATGAACAAACAATTTTGTCGATCAGTCATATTTGTATATTCCTCAACACAGAATAAAGCCCGCATCTAGATTAGACTTAGCTGACGGCATTTTATAGAGCTTTACAACTCAAATCAGCGATGTCGTCATCTAAGTGCAGATAACAAATAACGCTCTGCTTGCTAAGCTCATACTGGGTCTCTGCACAGATGTGTTACGTGATATTTTTAAAAAGAAATCATCTGCATATTATCTAAGGTAATGAAACAATGGTCTCATGGTTATTAGAAAAACAAAAAGCGAGTCCCTTTGAATGCATCACAATTTCAAATGCATGTAATGTTTCCATTAAAAATATACCAATATGAAACAGATTTTTCCAGACCTCGGTATCCTAATCTATATTTAAAGAAATCATTGCTATGCATTGAAATCGAGTTTATGCATATGGAAATCAAATTTAAAGCAAAATAATGGCTGATCTCTTTCTTTAGTGGACTGACTCAAAAAATTGCATTATCATTATCATTGTACAAGTTGAAAATCAAGACAAAAATTTTTAAAAAAAAAAATCAAAAATTAAAAAAAAAAAATGTGTCATGTTAAAGCATGAGCATGCAATGTTTGTCCTGAGAATGTATGTTTACTACTTCTGTGTTCTTTACAAATAATATCGGTCGCAATAAAGGTTTTAAAAATTCAAAAAAAAAAAAAAAAAAACAAAAAAAAAAAACAAAGACAAAAACAAAGTGACATGTAGGTATATTTAATAATTGGAAAATTTTCGAACTATTTTTAGAAAGTGTTCTGTGAAATAGGTAAGGGAAGATAAGGTTGAAAGCTAGTGGAATTGTGATTGTTATACAGGTAAGTCGAGAGAGAGAGAGAGGGGGGGATATGTTTAATGCATTTAACCTATTTCCGAATTTTTCTTTTTTTCCGTTGACGATCTTTTCACTTTGTTGAATATTTACCAATATGATTATGCTACGAAAACATTGAAGACTAATTCGAGATTCGATATTCAAAATACGAGACTTGATATTCGAATTATTTTTCACCCATTTAAACTGTTCGTTTTAAATATTTACAACATTTTTTTTTAGATAATCAAAAATTAGCAAACGTAGCACTGTTTATGCGTCTAAGGCGGATATCAACGGAATAGACATGCACGATATACTGAATTTATTTTTGTAAAAATATTATGTTCCCCAAACGAATTTTGGGAACATATTGCTTTCTCAGGTTTGTCAGATTTTCTCAGATTTCTTCCACTTTTTTTCCCCTACCGATTTGTGCACGCGAGTTCTCGAAAATGGCTCACGAGATTTTCATATACCTTTGATAGAACATCAAAAAATCTAGACTTATTTTTTTCTTTAAATGACGAAACTTCCGGTCCGGAGATTTTTGCAAATTTAGTGATTTTTTGGAAGGACGGTTTGTCCAGACGTTTTCTAGTAAAGCAATTAACATAAGAAACATATTAACACGCAATTTTCAGCGATGATAGACTTCATGTGCAGAAATGTACTATAAGGTATGTAGTACATTTTCACCGGAAGTGCAAAATGTCGACGATCGCTATGTCCTGATCAAATGGAAGTGGAGAATTTCAATTTTTTTTTTAGACATTTCCTAAAATATTTCTTTACTTATAAATATTTGTTAAGACAAGTACAGTTCTTTCGATTGGAATTTAAAAAAAAAGGACTGCCGCCTAAAATCAGGAACGTGGGTAAAATTTTCAATCGAATATAATCACTTTTCACCTCCTCCATGTAAACCGGAAGCAGCCAGAAATGACATATTTTTGAAGAAATTGCATAAAATTGAATGATTCAATCACTGAAGTCTTCTGAACTCATTTTCTGTCGAATAGTGTCATTTCCGGTTAAATCGGAAGTAGTCATGAATTGCTTAATTTCACGGATATCAGCCTAGACTTCGTGTAAAAATCTAGCACAGACAAACCAACATTTTTCGTCGCAATATTTTCTCAGTGATGATAGCTTATATTCATTAACCGATCTTACATGCATTTATGCTGAAAACCATGAAGAAAACATGCTTTCTTCTCCGGTACTTTTTTAATTTGTCCTTGTGTGTTCTCATAGAACCAGCCATCCGATTGACATGAAACCCTTTTAGGGTATACTGGCATCTTATACCTATACCTTTTACCTATATGTATATAAATCGATTGGCTAATACCTGTATGTATGACAATATCGGAGTAGTTTTCCAACAATATTTTTTAGAATATAAATGGTAGATCTTCAATACAAAAGTATTTCTTAATAAAGCTTGTAGAAAATACGATATCATAATAGAGCGGAGGAGCCATTTGTGGAACATGTGCAACGGTTCCCGTTACAATAGCACTAACTATATCACCAAATGACTTTAATATTAATTGAAATAACATAGTATAGACCACTTTGTATTAAATTTTGTTTGGTCACCTTATTTGACAGTCAAGTGATAAATGCATATACTGTATACTGAAAAGAGGTTGATAAACAAATTTCAATATTGCAAGGGTTCGAAATTTCGTACATTAGTAATTTAAATTGTATTTCGAATCTCGAATGAGCCATCTGGTCTTCTTACTTTAAAAAAATGTAAACATAACTTAAACTTGTGTCCTTTTTATTGCAAAAAAGAACAGAATATAAAGTATTTACGTAATTTACTCTTGCATACATTTATAGAGGTTGTCTGAAAAGAGAATCATGAAATTTGGTACAGGAATGCCCATGACTCTATTTCCTCTCCTTGACATCACAGATGTTGTAATAGATGGGACGTTTTACAAAGCTGTTGAAGAGAATGATAACATACTTCACCCAGATGAAGCTAAGAGACTTAAGGCGCCAATGTTTACATTTCTCATATTTGGAAGCATGGCTTTTGCGATCAACATCGGTGTGTTTGTTGTTACTTTTCTTAAAAAAAAGAGGAATAGCATCTAAAGAAGACGAAAGCAAACTACCTATGTATGTGTCTCCTCTGATCACATGGTTTGAGGATGTGCCACAGTTCGTAATTTGCCTGATCGTGGCCTTTAGAACAGATATGTGGCTTAATGAAGGCGTTCAACTCGCTAAAGCAATTTTTGCGCTTGGGAAAACAAAGATCCATTTAGTGTATTTCTTCATCACAAGAAATCGCCATCAAAATGAACAAATCATTTCATGGTTATATAAAGTGGTCATAATTGAAAATGTGGTTTTATTCGTTTCTTCATTTGTTTTGATAACACGCCTAGGTACCTTCTTGTAACTATCACATGAGATTTACTGAGACAAGAAAGGGAATGAAGGCGTTGACAATTCGTTCTTCTATATGTTCCTGTTTTTCATATACAGTCAAACGCTATTTATAATTCATTCAAAGAAAGTCTACGTGAAAAGAGGACATTCTTATTGTGGCTTTAAAGAGGTTCGATCCTGAGCTTTTGAGCAGATTTTGGTCTTGAACTCTATTTCTAAAATTCTGCATCATTTTTAAATTCTAACATTAAATCTGGATTCTACAATGCAAATTAAACTATATCTAATGGAAAAAAAACACTGCGATTAAATTCCATTCAAATAGGATTATGCAAGAACTATATTTTGTGGCGGAAGGTTTTTTTTTAGAAAAATATTATCAGTTTTTCCCTTTTGAAAAATAAACTGCACTGTTATGTTAAGATTCCTATTTTTCCATCCAGGTTGTACAGAGCTGTTTTTGCAGTGAAATGTTTTATGCTGGTTCTGAAATATCTATTAAATTATTTTTTAAGAATTCTTTCATTATATTGTGACAAATATAGTAAATATATTCTTAAAGTCCAAGAAAAATTGACCCAATTTTAACATAAAATTAACACTTTCTTAGTAATATCTAAAACTTTTACATCATATATCCCCACTTTT